CAGGGTAGAGGGCTGTTGCACGGGCTAGGGTGGTGGGCAGAGGATGCCTGTGAGAGTCTGCTTTTATCCAGTGAATGTCCCTTTGCCCAAGGGAATGAGACATTAAGTAGCAAATAAAACCACCAGGACAGATCTAGAGAGAGACCACAGAATAAAAGGAAAACTTGGGTTTATTCCTGTTTTCAGAACAAAGGGGCCCACATTTTCATGTTGCACTGGTTGCAACAACTCTATGTAGCTGGCTCTGACTCTTTCACCGTCATTCATGGACCTGTTCAATTTCAGCTCCTCGGAGACATTATCTAATCACTCTATCACAGGAGTCAGCAACTTTTTCTGTAAAGGACCAGAGAATAAAATAGTTCAGACTTTGTGGGTCATGTGGTCTGTGTTGTAACTACTCAACCCTGCTGTGATAGCGTGAAAGCAGCCATAGACCATATATAAATGAATTAGCATATATACAGAGGGTGCAAAAAAAATGTATACACATTTTAAGAAAGGAAAACTGTATTAAAATTGTAATATTCAAAATTGCTCAAATATATTTGAGATAACAAAAGATGAATACAAATCATGTTTGACTTCTGCAATTATAAGAGGTGCTCAAAGTGGTTACCATCAGCGTCCAGACACTTCTGATTATGGCGAACTACTGCTTGAGCAACATTGATCAAAGTGTCCACTTGTATACATTTTTTTGGCACCCTCGGTATATTCCAATAAAACTTTATGAATACTGAAATTTGGGTTTCATATAATTTTCACCTGTCGCTAATATTATTTTTCCTTTGCCTTTTTTTTTTAACTATCAAAATATGTAAAAACCATTCTTAGTTTACAGGCTTCACAAAAGTAATCAGGAGGCTGGATTTGGCCAATGATCTGTGGTTTATTGACTCAGTTAAGTAAATATGTATGGAAGCGAGTCCTTTGGAAACTAGGGAGATAATGAATGCTGGCCCGCAGGCGAGGGAGATGTTTTAAAGGAGGAGCCACACTGAACACAAGTACAACTCATTTTACACATTAAAACTTGGTAAATTCCACTTGTAATTTCAAGGAATTTGTGACAACACTTTTTCTTTCTTATACTGGATGGCTTAGCAGGATTCCATCAGAATAGTTTGTTGTTGTTTTTTAAAGAATGTATTAAAATCAGAAATTAAGTGAATATTCCAGACCCAGCATTTACATCTCCGTTTTTAATATCACCACCATCTCTTTATTTTTTTTCTCTCTTTGCTATTATTTCATGTCTCCCTATAGATGTCTTTGTTTAATCCTGCATCCTTTGAGTTTTGTGGCACCATTCACTCTAGATTCAAACACATGACCCTTCCTTCTCATCTAAGCCCTTCTGCTAACTACTTATGTGATCTGAAATAAATCATGTAACCTTTCCAAGCCACTGCATTCTGCGCTAGTTAGGCTAGGTAGTGCCAGGAGCCATAATAGGCAAAACCAGAACCTCAGCCTCAGGGGTTGAACATAAAGGAGATTTATTTCAACTTTTCATTAAGTCCAGTGTGGGTTGGATAGCTCTCCTTCATCTAGCAACTACATCATCTGGAGAGTAATAGAGGGGTGGAGGAGAGCCACTTCTATTAATGGTTAGTTGGTCAGAATTAGTAACATGTCCCCAACCTAAATGCCCGTAAGGCTGGGCAATGAAAAGCCTATGCTCATGGTTTTGTTGGGCATTAAAACTAGGTGTAAAATGATCTCTTAGAACAAGGGTTGGCTGATGTTTTCTCTAAAGGAAAACACAATAAATATGTTAAGTGTTGGGCATAATATGGCCTCTGTCACAACTTCTCAACTCTGCCATTGTAATGTGAGAGCAGCCATGGACAATAAGGAAATGAATGAACGTAGCCATGTTCCAATAAAACTTTATTTTGAGAAACAGGAGGCAGGCCAGATTTGGGCCACAGGCCATAGTTTACTGATCCCTTTCTTAGAGCATAACTAACATAGAGTGATTCTCGTTTTTCTTCACCTCAGGTGCTCGGAGAGCTTGAGCAATGACTGTCCCCTCAATGTGCCTTAGCTGGCTAATAATAACCAATAGACAGTTCGGAAGGAGCAAATAAGAATGAGGTCAGATGATTACTGATCAATGGTTTCTTTCCTTTGAAATTTCCATGAGCCTGTCTCCCTTCCTCCAGATATTTTATTTGAAGCCATGCTATAGTGAGATGATAGCACTCTGCTCACGGAAAGAAGGGGAAATATCATGCAGATTTTCATCACCATGTTCTAAGCAGTTTATACTGAGTCCCGATAATATCTGGCATACATCGTATACTTCTGGTATAAGACCGTATATACATTTGTGTTGTCCACAAAATACTTATCTTCTGGCATCTACCCAAGTAAGAAATCTGAATCACCCTTTTCTCTTCCCTTAAAATCAACCTTCACATCCAATCAGATGCCAAGACCTAAAGAGCTAACCTCATTAGCATCTCTGAAAAACATCTGCCGTCTCCAACCCTATTGGCCCTGCTCTAACTTCAGGAACTTATCATGTCTTGGCTGGAATTCTATAAAATCTATCTAATTAGTCTTCTTTCCTCAAGTCTGGCCCTGACCATTCTCAGTCTCTAACATGCTAAAGTGAGTTGAGTAAAATGCAAAGCCAACTATGAAACACCCTTGCTTGGAAATCATTCAGTGGGTTCCTAAAATATTCAAGTTAAAGACCAAACTCCTTAACGTGGCATTTAGAGCTCTTTATGATTTGGCCTCTGCAACTTACAATATCTCACTCCCTGAACCCACCACTGCTTTCACAGACTGCACTATAAACATCCTGAAGTATTTGCCGTTTGTACTTTCCTTCTCCCCGCCCTCTTTTGTCTGCCTACCACCTCTGCTTCATCAAGATTCAACTCAGCCATCAATCACCTGCTAATGAAAGCTTTTCTTGAGTCCTTCCCTAGAGTACAGACCCACCATTGGACTCCCTTTATAGGCTGTGCCTCGACTTATCAGCCCCTTTCACTGTGCTTATACTGCACTGAAGCATGATCCTGGAGATGCTGTCTCTTCCTTCATGCACCATCCCTTCTCCACTATACAGTCTATTATCACCTGGAAAACAGAGACAATGTCTTCCTTACCTATTCCTATCATGGTGTTTACCATGCTATCTGCAATTTAGTCACTCAGCAAGTATTTGTAGAATGAATTAAATTGTAGCAAAAAATCACCTGTTTGCTTTCATCATTACATGACAAATGTGTTTTTAATGTAATTAAAACTTTGGGTGGTCAGGGTTCAGAAAGATGTATTTAAGAAACATTTGGAAGTAAAGGAGTCATATTCATTAGTTCGCTTGATCTTTAAAAAGTTTATGAGAAGGAACATTATATAAATTTGGTTGATGGCCTATATACAAAGTGAAACAAAAACACAATACAATACAATAGAACAAAACAAAGACGATGGACACACCTGTGTTTTCATTGAAGCCAGTGTCATATTTAATGACTTTTAATTGCTGTTATATAGTCCAGTGGAAAGAACATTGAATGTGAAATTGAAATTCAGTAGCCCCAAGGATAGGTATTTCAGGAGAAACCAAACCTGACATTGAACCCTGATCTTTTATACTTCAAAGGCAACTGAGTCCTATATGGGTACTAATTTGAATTCCATTACTGAGTTGATGTGTCATAATAATATGATAAATAACTGGCACTTTCTTGTATAACAATATTTATGCCTCTCAACCTCTTTTATAAAAAATATTTCAATGGTGAAAGAATAAAGTGTATTGTGATAGTTTGCACCCTTTATATAAAAAAAACCTAAAATATATACATTTTCAGTATCATTGTATGTTTTAGATTATAGACTAAATGATATCTACTTTAAAAACATGATGAGCTAGAAGACACAGGGTAACTTGAATATTATGCAGGAAAATAATCTGTAAAGTACTGAGATTAAATTAACAAGAATTTGAGGGCAATGGAAATGTTATTAAACCAACAGTTTATTGTACTTCGGGAAAAGTAGAGTACTATAAACTTTATTGTAAAGAGATTGCAGTTAACCTCTTGTTTATTATTATGAGATTGTTAATATTTAAGTAATATGAATGAGAAGAGTAAAAAGTAAAAATAGTTGGATTGATTCTTTAGAAATGTAAACAATTCTGAGAGCCAAAAAGATGGCAGTTTTTTTGAAGGACTATGTTAGAAGCTCTGCTAGGCAGGAAAATGAGTGAACATAATTAAAACTATGGATGAAAACCCCCCAAAACTGCTATATGGAATAATTTGTTACTGACACAGGGTATAGATTATATCTGCCAATACTTATGATTTAACTTTTATGTTTAAACTGAGTTTTCTTGCTGTTTGAGGATTAATTAAACTTCTTTAAAAAGAAAATCAAAATTTGTTACAAATACCAGCCAGATTCTTAGATCCTAGAAAATGTTCTGTACTACTTCACTTAAAATTCTGATGATAAAATTTCAGCATATGGTACTTGTGGACAATATCTAATGTCACCAATTTCCTGGACTATAAAAAGAATTAAAAAAAACGAAACTGGCTTAATAGTGCTTCAGTGTTGTAAGGGCCCTTTTATTATTAGATTCTATACCCTCAGGGTCTGGCAAATGCCAGATGTTTAATAAACGTTAGTTGAGTGAAAGTTGACTTAAAATTGCAACTTTCCAAATTGATCATTAGGAGACATTCTGTGCAATATATTTTTATAGTCTTCCAGGGAAATCTAACAAAAAGTCTAAATTATTTGATCAACTATGCCTTAATATTTTTTCATTAAACAATTTTTGTTCATTATTTAATTCATCAAGGAATTATTTAGTGTCTCTCTGTAAAGCACAGTTATATTTTAAGTATAAAAACCAGATAGTTTACCTGAAAAAAATCACCCCTTAGATTAAATTGATGGGGAGATGAGGCTGAAGATGAACATGATCATATTAATGCTGTCATCACGCTCATTTATTTTAGCCTAAACAACGAACATCTATTGTGTCTTCTCTGGATTTTCATCGAATGAATCACAACCAAGAATATTTTGAAATCAACACATCTACAGGGTGTTCAAGCTTTCCTTCCAGCCCTCCTGCTAGTCCACATACCTCTTCTGCGGGAATCACGGAAGTCAAGAATGAGGGAACCGGCCGAACAGGTAAGCAGTTCATTTTCATGCAGCTCTGTTTTTGAACTTTTAAGCTAAAGCCTTTATGAGTGAGAGGAATTCAGAGGAATCATTAAAACAAATTGCGCTGCATTCTTCTTTCACCTACATGTGTGGCATGTGGGGCATTATGATTTTTGTCAGTGTGGATATAATATTCTTTTCGACTATATTAATGGCCGTTTAGGTATTAGATAACAAAGTTGATGATTTAATGCTATTATGATAGTGAAATACCAGAGACCTAGAAATGCCCTCCTTCCACTGCTATTTACCCCTCTCCACACAGTGGTATCAATTCATCAATATGTGACTTTATTGACAGCTGCTCTGAGGCTAGAGAACCTGTTTGAAGGTTATCTGATAAGACTGAGCTGGATAGTGTGGTCTAGGTGGGCTGTCAAGCTGCTCAATCCAAGGTGAATTTAGAGAAGAGGAGCGTGGAGAAATAAGGCTGGGAGGAAGGGGAAGATTAGGGAAAGTAACCACACCCACTGGTAAAACAGATCTGGTTCCACCCAATCAGGTTTGCAACGCTTCCCTTCTTTGGGGTCAAGGAGCTCGTAACTGGTAAGAACAAAGGACAGAAATAGGGGATGTGGGACCTGAAGAATACCTTCTCTTTATATCTAATTTAAAGTAAATGAACTATTCAGCTACTTTTCTTCAAAGAGATGTAATTATGTAATTTTAAAATCCATTAAATATGATTAATATGAATTTTAGAATCATAAAATATTGTCTGTGTGGTGTTGCATGTAATCTTAGTTCAAAATGAGTGTGTGTATGACTATATGAGTGTATACACATGTACCTATTTAAGTGCTTTACTCTGACTCTACTTTTAAGAGCACCAATACAAACTTCAAAAATACAGCCAAATAATTATTTTCCCCTCAGGGAAAAAAAAAACAAACGTAAGATTTTTAGTCAAATGATTAATGGAAGTGGTGAGATTGACAGTCTGTGGAAGCTATAATCCAATCTTTCCATGGCAACCTGGTGATATTTATAAAATGTAAATCAAAGTATGCCATTATCATGTATAAAATGCTCAATGGCTTCTTGTTGAATTTAGACTAAAATCTAACTCCTCATCATGGCCGTGAATTTCAATATAGACTTCTGACTAGCTCTTTAATCTAACCTTCAGCAAACTCATCCTGGCTCACTGTGGCCTTCCTAGCTAGCGCTCTGTCCCTGGGGATTTGTACTTGGATTCCTGCTGCCTGGAACCTCGATCTTCAAATTCTGATGTGACTGAATGTCATGTGGATTTTGGCTCAAATGCACCTCCTCAGAGAGGCCTTCTCAGATCACCCTATCTTAAGTAGAACACTCACTATGATGATAATTATAATAACAAAGTTGTGCAAAGACCAATAATAACAGTAAGCAAATGCTTAAATATTTTAATATTTAATTTATACAATTTTAAATAATATATTGAATTTAATACCTTTAATATTAATAAGCAATAAGTATTTAAGCAAATACTTAACACTTTGCGTCATATACTGTTTTAGGCATATACTGTTTTAGGCATTTTATTCATAGTAACTCATTTAAACCTCGTAACTGTTATATGAATTAGGTATTATTATTTGTAGACAAGGAAGCACAGAAAGAAGATAAATAACTAAATAACAGCCCATAATACTAGAGCTGGGGATTCAGAGTTGGTGGTCGAGTTCATGTGCTTAACCACTTTTCAACATCGCTCTAGTTTCTTTTGTCAAATCATCATTTTTTTCCAGGGCTTATTTACCATGTAAAATTATATTGTTCACTTGTTTATTTATTTATTGTCTCTGGCTTTGGAATAAAACCAAAAGCTAAACTTTAACGGTCTAAATAGATTCGAATACCATGTTACTATGGTTTCCTAATATATAATATGTCACTTCCATGTTATACATAAAAAATGTTAGGGCAGACTGATATTTAGTAATAATGTGGAAGGACAATGCTGATTTGTTTTACATTAAAAAAGTAAAACTTTTAGTTGTACAAGTAAAACTTTTAAGGCAGGCATTTATCTACTTGAAAAAGTAGCATTTCATTATCTTACACAATGATGTTTTGCTATTCTTGGAATGTAAGAACCTCCATATGCTGGCACCACCCCCTCGTCTGTATTGAAAGAGAATGAACTCTGGGGTGAGTTCTGTCACTGATTGCCTAGATATTTTCCATCAAATCACTTAACTTCTCTGATTTCCAGTTTGCTTCTCCGAAAAAGGAAAATAACAGCGACTCTTTGGGAAGTTGTGGTAATAAGTGACCTTCTTTATGTGAATGCTTTTTGTAAACTATAAAAACTAATAACCTTCTTTAACATTATCATCATTATTGTTTAATATAATTACTTTTCTTTAATATTATTTGAAATCGTTAGTACTTTAGCTAGAAAGAGCTTACTATGGGTCTGTACTTAAAGTAGCTGATATTTTCTTGAATTAAAAGTATAATCTAAATTAACACATAAATCTGCCATTCATTTTAAAAATGATTGCATGCACAAAAACATTAATCTTGACAAAATGTCATTTAATAGAACAAAGACTAATAATAACACTTTAAATAAGTGACCCAAAGAATTTATTATAACAGAGGGCCATTTCAAAAGTAGCCTGAATTGTAATCAAAGCTTCCTATTTGGAAGACACTATATTATGTAATCCAAGTATCAATTTATGAATTACCAAAAAGGTGGTTAAAGGGGAAGGCCTTTGGGGTTGGATAGACTTGGGAATGTTATAAATGAGTTTGCATTTAACTAGAAAGCTCATTCTAGTATCAATATGTAATAGACAGAATGGAGATGAGGTCAAATTGGAGACGGGGAGAAACAGTGTCATAACCAGTGAAAACATGTAAATAGATTTGAGAGATACATGGAAAGAGTAATCAACACGTTATGACAGCTGATTGGATGTATGACGGTGAAGAAGAATAGTTCAAAGAAGGCTCTAAAGTTTCTGGTTTAATCAGATGAGTCAAATCAGAATGTTATTCCCTGAACTATGGAATATTTTTAAGTAAGAAGGAGGGAGGGGCAGCTAGATCATACAGGACCTCACAGGCCATTAAAAGGACTTTGACTTGTACTCACATGAAATAAAGAGCCAGTGAAGGTCTTTTGGAAGAAACGTGACATGATGCAGCTTCTATTTGATAACAATTACTCTGTTGTTCTGAGAATGGCCTGGAGAAGGGGAGTGAGAGTGGAAGCAGGAAGGGCAGTTAGAAAGAAGGCTATTCCACGTTGCAGTAAGAGGAGAGGCGAAGGCAGCTCAGCGCAAACATGAAATAATGGTGGCATAGAAAAATGGATAGATGCATTTTTTAAGGTAGGTGTAATAAAATTGCATGTTGGAGTGGATATCGTATATGAGGAAAAAAAGAAGAATTAAGGAAAACTGCCAGATCTTTTTTCTAAACAACTGTCAGAATGGATTTACTCTCATCTGACATGGGAGAGGTAGTCAGAAGAGCAGATTCGGTGAACAGGAAGAAACACCAGGAGTTAATTTTAAATTTGAGAGGCCTACTAAGTGTCCGAAAAGATGTATCAAGTAGGCAGCTGAAGGTCCAGTCGGAAGATACAAATGTGAACATCATCACTATATAGACAATATGGAGTGAGTGCAGATGGAGGACCAAAATCTGAGCTTGATGAGGGGATAAAAGGCAGTACCAGCAAAAGAAACTGAGAAGGAACAACCTGTGAGGACATCTTCTGGTGAATGCTGGTGAAATCTGAATTAGTATGAGAAAGTTATTAAGGAGGAGGAAGTGATAACTTTGTTAAATGTAGCTGGAAGTTGAGTAGGATGAGGACTGAGTTAGAGTTGACTAGCGGGTTTAACAATGTGAAGGTCACCGCTGACCTTGACAAGAGCCATTTGGTTGAAATTGATGGAGCAAAAACCCAACATAATGAGTTTAAGAGAGAATGGGAGGAGAAAACTTAGAGCAAATATAAACTACCTTTACAAAAATTTCGTCTAAGGAGAATTATAAAGTTACAATAAGGAGAAAGAGAGAATGAGCTCTGTGAACTGAGAGGAGAGATTGGGTTGAGACAGGAGCATGGGAAAAAGGCAAGATGTTTCCGGTGAGAGTACACATGCTGGGAAGGAATCCACGTGGTGAGAATCATCTGTGGAAGATCTGTTCTGATAGTTTTCATTTTCTCTATTAAGTAGAAAGCAGCAGCACCCATTGAGAACAAAGATGGCAGAGGAGATGTGGCAGTTTAGGAAAGCAAAAAACAATGAAAATTGTTTAGGATAAAGAGACAGTGAATGGACAAGGGAGGTATGTTGTAATTGCCTGGCAGCATTACAGGTCCATTTGAGGTTTATGTCCAGAAGCTTAACATTAGATTCTCCAATGTAGTTCTGTGATTTCCTTCAGCCCAGTTCATATGGGGGGAGGGGGCCATAGGTGCAGAATGAAGTTCAGAGAGCTGAATTTTACCTAGGTTGTGGTTTTGCCCATTGGGTATATTGAAGTGATTAAAGGGCAAGGAAATATGAATGCAAGAGAATGAGAGTAATGTTTTACCATATAATTTAAGATGGGGGAATAAGTGAAAGAGGATAACAAGGGAGCAAGTAACAGTGACAAATCAATAATATCATTAGATTGGAATTTCCTTTGGGGTCAAAGGATTCCTGGCATCAAGGTACTAAAGAACTAGGCTGGGATGATAGGAGATAGATTCAGAGAGGGGGATACACATGAGTCTAGGAACAATTATAATTATTGGTAATCACAGGGTTTTAAGACCATGGGAGTGAGCAGCTGAGTTAGCCTCTCCCCACACAAATTAGCCTTAAATACTGTAGTTAAATAAGTACAATATTTAGAAGAAATGTTTGATGTAAAGAACCACATTTATGTCTATATTGATCTCCATTCATAATATTTAAATTAATCTTTGCATTTTAACAAATTATGATCTAGATGAACTTCAGCTAAGG